CAGTAGACATATTTTGGTTTACAAACTGTATTGTTTCGTCAGTTAGTCACATTAGCACTCGGCTAACGTATCCACCATTATTGTTTTAAGTGTTCAAGGTTTAGCAGCTAAACTTTAGCTGTGGGCACAATTCGCTCATAAGTGTTTTTGTATTTTATGTCATTATTATAAGAATGGATTGGAGCACTATATTGTTGTTTTATGTAAAGGTGCTTTGTCAATGGTAGCGCTCGCTAACTTGCTCAAGGACTCCTCTCTGTACCAATCACAACAGGCTTGGCCAGCTAACCAATCAGAGAAGAGTAGGCTTATGGAAGAGAGGGGTTTGCTCCGAACTTGCTTGGAACAAATCGTTCAAATCATTGGCAAATGACTCTAATATTAAATGTATATTCTGAGAAAATTACAATGTTTTCTGACCTTAGATGCATTTAAACCAGTTGTAGGGGACTCAATATTAATACACTCAACACAATATTAGGACACTTTAAAATACAATATGACCTGCTCTTTAATGTCAAAGATGCTGAAACCACTATTCATGCTTTTGTCTCATTTACCTGCAAGTTCTAATTTCCAGGTTACAGTATATTCAAAATTCTGCTCCTAGAATACTCACCCACACCAAGCGCTCTGCCCACATCACCCCAATTTTGTTCAATCTCCACTGGCTTCCGGTTGTATATTACTGTATATTAGATACAAAATTCTCCTGCTTACTTTTAAATCGTTGCACAGCCTGGCTCCCCAGTATCTCTGTGAACTTCTCCCTTACACCCAACTCGCCCATTACACTCCTCTGATTCTGGTCTTTTCAGTATATCTCTGTATCACCTCGTTTCAATGGGGGGTAGATCATTCAGCGGTGCTGCATCCAAACTATGGAATTCTCTCCCCCGATCTCTCCGCAGTGTCAATAATATTTCTGAATTAAATCACTAGTTATCTGAATGTTATCATTTGTAAGTTATGTCCCGCATCCCTTTGTTTTCTGAATGTTATTCATATTTTGCGTCCTGTTTTTTTTTTTCATTCTAATTTTTTCACTTGTATTAGTGTTTGTCATTTTTGTTTATTATATTGAGATTTTTCTTTTCAAATTGTATCTTTACTGTAAAGCATCCTTGAGCACTGGAAAGGCACTATATAAATAAACCTTTATTATTATTCATAAAAAATCCTGAAAAAATTATAACGTTTTCCACATAAATATCAAGCAGCACAAGTGTTTTCTACATTGATAATAACAAAAAAAAGCACCAAATCAGCAAATTACAATGATTTTAGAAGGATCATGTGACTGAAAACTGGAGTAATGGCTGCTGAAAATTCAGCTCTGACATCACATTTTAAAATATATTAAAATACAAAAGTTATTTTAAATTGTGAAAATATTTCAGTCAAATATAACATCTTTTTTTTTTATCTATAAGGCTACTTCAACTCGAACAGACATGAAACTAGCTTTTGAAACCGCATTAAGACTAAATGAAGAAAAATGAACATGTAAGACATATTTCAACAAAACAAGCTTAGTTAAAAAAAAAAAACAGTTCATTTAGTCACAAAGACAATAATAAATATGGATGAGTAGAGAGGTAAGTAGGTACTTAGAGTGTTAATGGTTGATGGGAATCTGGGAACATGGGATTGTACTACACTTTACCTTCCTCCATGCAGGGACTGGAGCCAGCCGCACTGACTCTTTCAGAGAGGGAGCGGCCGGAGAGGGGGTCAGTATGAGCCCCAGATTGGGCATGGAGTCCCCCTGTAACCAGTGGCACGTGCGTGTGATGAGTTTGACGTTGTATTTTGTTGTTGCATTCAAGCACGCCGCTTTTACAAGCTATTTAAAAGCGAAGGAAAGCTAGGAAAAGAGGGAACGCCCCCGCCCCCACGGTGATACCGGTATTACCGGTGTTGTCATACGTCGATTAACCGGTGGGGAAATTTCCTCACCGTCACAACCCTAGATTCATCCCACTTGGTTAAACAAACCTTATAACCATATGGGTTTTTATGCTTGCCACATAAAGAAATCACCCAAATAGCACTGCAAAAGTAATGCTGATTCACAACGTGATATACTAACACTGCCAAAAACTACTTGAAATTGACAGCTGAGTTTGGCACAGTAACAGTACATATGTTCATGTAGTACTTTGCCTATTTCCAGGTAAGTAAAGATGAATTTTTGATTTAACTGAAGTTTAAAATGAAACAGTAGTTTGTACAGATTGAAGGGCTAAAGTTCAATCTAGTGTTATTGTTAACT